GAAGCTTTTTTGGGTCCAGTAAGGGTGAGCCCCAGGAAGACATGCAAAAACAGTTGTGCCAGTCATTTTCAATCCAAACCAGAGTTTTGGCAACAGGATTGCTAACATAGCATTTGCCCTGGGTTCCCAAAACCTCCAATAGTACATCATAATCATCATGGCAGCAAGGAGCCAGATTGGCAACATCGACCAGGAGTTTTTTTCCTTATTCAATCTATTATGTAAAACTGTTCGTTTTGAAGAATTTTTGGGGTCCAGTAAGGGTGAGCCCCAGGAAGACATGCAAAAAACAGTTGTGCCAGTCATGATTTTCAATCCAAACCAGAGTTTTGGCAACAGGATTGCTAACATAGCATTTGCCCAGGGTTTCCAAAACCTCCAATAGTACATCATAATCATCATGGCAGCAAGGAGCCAGATTGGCAACATCGACCAGGAGTTTTTTCCTTATTCAATCTATTATGTAAAACTGTTCGTTTTGAAGCTTTTTTGGGTCCAGTAAGGGTGAGCACCAGGAAGACATGCAAAAACAGTTGTGCCAGTCATGATTTTCAATCCAAACCAGAGTTTTGGCAACAGGATTGCTAACATAGCATTTGCCCAGGGTTCCCAAAACCTCCAATAGTACATCATAATCATCATGGCAGCAAGGAGCCAGATTGGCAACATCGACCAGGAGTTTTTTCCGTCTTCAATCTATTATGTAAAACTGTTCGTTTTGGAGCTTTTTTTGGTCCAGTAAGGGTGAGCCCCAGGAAGACATGCAAAAACAGTTGTGCCAGTCATGATTTTCAATCCAAACCAGAGTTTTGGCAACAAGATTGCTAACATAGCATTTGCCCAGGGTTCCCAAAACCTCCAATAGTTTACGATATTATAATCATCAGGCAGCCCACTTAGCCCAGATGGACACATACGACCGAGGAGTGATTTTCCTTATTCAATTCTATTATGTAAACTGTTCGTTTTTTGAAGCTTTGTTTTGGGTTTCCAGTAAGGTGAGCCCCAGAAGACATGCAAAAAAACAGTTGTGCCAGTCATGATTTTCAATCCAAACCAGAATTTTGGCAACAGGATTGCTAACATAGCATTTGCCCAGGTTTCCCAAAACCTCCAATAGTACATCATAATCACCATGGCAGCAAGGAGCCAGATTGGCAACATCGACCAGGAGTTTTTTCTTTATTCAATCTATTATATATGTAAAACTGTTCGTTTTGAAGCTTTTTTTGGGTCCAGTCAGGGTGAGCCCCAGGAAGACATGCAAAAACAGTTGTGCCAGTCATGATTTTCAATCCAAACCAGAGTTTTGGCAACAGGATTGCTAACATAGCATTTGCCCAGGGTTCCCAAAACCTCCAATAGTACATCATAATCATCATGGCAGCTAGGCGCCAGATTGGGAACATCGACCAGGAGTTTTTTCCTTATTCAATCTATTATGTAAAACTGTTCGTTTTGAAGCTTTTTGGGGTCCAGTAAGGGTGAGCCCCAGGGAGACATGCAAAAACAGTTGTGCCAGTCATGATTTTCAATCCAAACCAGAGTTTTGGCAACAGGATTGCTAACATAGCATTTGCCCAGGGTTCCCAAAACCTCCAGTAGTACATCATAATCACCATGGCAGCAAGGAGCCAGATTGGCAACATCGACCAGGAGTTTTTTCCTTATTTAATCTATTATGTAAAACTGTTCGTTTTGAAGCTTTTTGGGGTCCAGTAAGGGTGAGCCCCAGGAAGACATGCAAAAACAGTTGTGCCAGTCATGATTTTCAATCCAAACCAGAGCTTCGGCAACAGGATTGCTAACATAGCATTTGCCCAGGGTTCCCAAAACCTCCAATAGTACATCATAATCACCATGGCAGCAAGGAGCCAGATTAGCAACATCGATCAGGAGTTTTTTCCTTATTCAATCTATTATATATGTAAAACTGTTCGTTTTGGAGCTTTTTTGGGTCCAGTAAGGGTGAGCCCCAGGAAGACATGCAAAAACAGTTGTGCCAGTCATGATTTTCAATCCAAACCAGAGTTTTGGCAACAGGATTTCTAACATAGCATTTGCCCAGGGTTCCCAAAACCTCCAATAGTACATCATAATCATCATGGCAGCAAGTAGCCAGATTGGCAACATCGACCAGGAGTTTTTTCCTTATTCAATCTATTATGTAAAATTGTTCGTTTTGAAGCTTTTTGGGTCCAGTAAGGGTGAGCCCCAGGAAGACATCCAAAAACAGTTGTGCCAGTCATGATTTTCAATCTAAGCGAGAGTTTGGGCAACAGAATTGCTAACATAGCATTTGCCCAGTGTTCCCAAAACCTCCAATAGTACATCATAATCATCATGGCAGCAAGTAGCCAGATTGGCAACATCGACCAGGCGTTTTTTTTTTTTTTTCCCTTCCCTTTTTTTTTTTTTTTCTCCTTTTCAATCTAATATAATAGTAAACTGTCGTTTTGGAAGAGCTGTTTTGGTGGGTCCCAGTAAGGGTGAGCCCCAGGAAGACATGCAAAAACAGTTGTGCCAGTCATGACTTTCAATCCAAACTAGAGTTTTGGCAACAGGATTGCTAACATAGCATTTGCCCAGGGTTCCCAAAACCTCCAATAGCACATCATAATCATCATGGCAGCAAGGAGCCAGATTGGCAACATCGACCAGGAGTTTTTTTCCTTATTCAATCTATTATGTAAAACTGTTCGTTTTGAAGCTTTTTTGGGTCCAGTAAGGGTGAGCCCCAGGAAGACATGCAAAAACAGTTGTGCCAGTCATGATTTTCAATCCAACCCAGAGTTTTGGCAACAGGATTGCTAACATAGCATTTGCCCAGGGTTCCCAAAACCTCCAATAGTACATCATAATCATCATGGCAGCAAGGAGCCAGATTGGCAACATCGACCAGGGTTTTTTTCCTTATTCAATCTATTATGTAAAATTGTTCGTTTTGAAAGCTTTTTTTGGGTCCAGTAAGGGTGAGCCCCAGGAAGACATGCAAAAACAGTTGTGCCAGTCATGATTTTCAATCCAAACCAGAGTTTTTTGACAACAGGATTGCTAACATAGCATTTGCCCAGGGTTCCCAAAACCTCCAATAGTACATCATAATCATCATGGCAGCAAGGAGCCGGATTGGCAACATCGACCAGGAGTTTTTTTCCTTATTCAATCTATTATGTAAAATTGTTCGTTTTGAAGCTTTTTTGGGTCCAGTAAGAGTGAGCCGCAGGAAGATATGCAAAAACAGTTGTGCCAGTCAAACATAGCACCTTCCATTTGGTGGTTCCAGCTTTGGAGTATTCGCCAAGTTCCCAAACACAGCACGAACACTAACTTGACACTTTTGGGAATTTGTGCTGATGGAGGCGCGGCAGGTGTTAGGTTAGTATCAAAATCACCCCATGAACATGCAAGATTTCAGCTGCTATGTTAGCGCTGTTCAACGGGAAATCCCGAACGCTAACGTAGCGGGATAATTTTATTTTTATTTTTTTTTGGCCCAGGTTAGATTTCACGGGAGTAAATGTAAATAATTCATTTTAACCCTGGAACTCAAAATCCTGGCTGATGAATTGGGATTAATTGGGGGGTCACCCCAAAAAATGTGACCAGTGGATGGCTAGTAAAGGTACCCATGAAGCAACCAACCCAGGAGTAAATGGTGGACAATACTAGACATGGGAAGTCGCTTACCTCGTGAAACCGACAAACAGCAGAACCGACCTACATATACTGATCGGGCTATCCAAGTTTTTCCTACAGACCTTGATCTCTACCTACTTGACCAGTAAAACCACTGTGTCTATCCATTTGGCTCCAAACAATTCGGAAAAACCAAAACACATCCAGCAGTTTATCATGGTTTATCAGTTTATCATATATTCCATCAATTTGTCGAATATTTGTTCATGGCATTTAGCGACCATAAATTCTGGGTCATGGTTGAAAAATCTAAACGATCGCTCATTTCTGGACCCAACTTTCCGCTGTTTTCCCACCTGCATAGCCGCCCGTTGTTCCAGGTTCCTCGATGCGCACGCCCCGCGCACGCAGCCAGGCGATTCGTTCCTCTTTGGTGGCCAGATCCTCTTCTGGATCCGACATGGCAACTCACTTAGTCACTATGGCTAATGGTAGATATTATCTGGCTGGTTGTCAAATGCCTAGAGACGGAGGTTTATAGCTGGGAAAGTCATCGAATGAAATGGTGGATATATCAAAGTAGATACAGTGTTATAATGTATTACAGTACATCGAACTCATATACTAGTTGATAAACTATATTAATAGCCATAGTAGATTATAGTAGATTATAGTCGATATATCAAACTTTATGGGGTTGATAAACCAACTTCTGTATAATTGAGACACCTCACCTTATACTGATTTTCACAGCCCTGATTTTGGAAAAAAGGAACTGATGTTACTTCAGGTTTTGTTGAGAAAGGGATACCTGCAATCTCTGAGTTTGCGAAAGACTCGGATGTTGTTACAGATTGCAACAAAAAAAAGTAGGGAATAAGTAGGGACGATACCAGCAATCTAGTGGTTGAGCCACCCACAAATATCTTCATCATCCCAAACATGGTTGAACAATGTTGAACATACATGAGACCGCGCTAAGCAGTGTTCCACTACTTGCGACTTAGCTGAGCCAAAAGGATTCGCGCAGCTATCGACCAGGAAATTTGATCATGGGCCAAGGATCCCAACACCAAAAAGGTGGGACCTGCGTCCAAGCTTCGAGTGAAGTTGGCCATGTAAGCTTTGCCGCAACAAGTCCCTAACGGGAGAGGTGTTTGGACATGTTTGGGGTGTCCTCAGTTTCCTAATGGAACGCAACTGGGATTTGGGTGTAGTCTTTACACATTTCTAGACCATTCTCTATCTCCATCTCCAACAACATGAACCATGTTGCCAACGCTAGCTAAACCGTTGCGTTGCAGTGCCTGATCAACCCCCAACTTGCCGCATCAAGCCATATATAAATTTCGATAGTAAAATCATACGACAAAGGACAAGGACCGTGGTTTCTGCTTCCATGTCAAATACCTTAAGTGAAGAGTCTGGAGCCTGAACCTCTTTGTTCCTGGCATGTGTTCAAGGCTTATGTACTGCATGATACTGCATGCACTGTTTACCCGAGCAACAAAAAGTGCAGTTGTAAGAAGCTGTAAGAAGCTGTAAGAAACTGTAAGAATTAAATTGGTTCTACTGGAATCTCTTTGACCCAACATGTCCATCGGTGCCCTTATCCATTGGCTCATGAAATCCTTCATGCTTGGGGTGCTGTCACCCAATGATGTCCTTTTCGTTTGACCCAACAGAACATCTACACAAGAAGGGCGGTTCCTAGCTATGTACTGGGTGGTTTATGCCAACTAGCTTCACCGGGATTCATGGCAACATACAAGTATATAGATATTATAGATATATTTTATATATATACAGTGCATATACACATATAAGTATATATTTTAATATATTTTACATGTATAAATACAGTTGGATGATGTTGGATGGGTGCATAAACCAATTCTAGTTTCCTTCTTGCGCTCGACGTTGCATGGTTTCAGATGGGGCCGCAAGGCAGTTGATCAGTCTCGATGGATTGGTTTAATGGGAAAATCGATGGTTTCCGGTTAATATTTTCCCTTAGACCAATCCATTGACAGTCACATGGCTGGCAAATCACCCAATAGTTCGTTTTTTTCAGTAAATTGATGTTCTTTTCCCAACGAACTAAACCAATGTTCATAAAATTTGTCCACGTTTGACACCGGAGGATATCATACATTGTTGGCGATTTTTATCCGATGATATCCCCCGAAAATGCAAGCTGGGAAATCCCCGAACTAGCCATGGATGTTTCTAATGATTTCTAGCTGGGAAAATCAACAAGCCATGATAGCTGGTAGAGATTCAATTGTTGAGAAAATTTTAGTTTCCCCTTGAATGGGCATATGGATGCATATGGGGGTTCCATAAATGGAGGTACCCCAATAGCTGGATCGTTAATGGAAAATCCTGTAAAATCATGTAAAATGGATGATTTGCGGGTACCCCAATTTGAGGAAACCTCCATATGCTATTAACTCAACCCAACAAAGACAGAAGTTTCGACCAAGGCACATCTCGATGCTCATGGCCATTTTCACCGCCCGAATGGAGGCCTTCAAATCCTGGTGGGAAAATAAGACAGTGACATGTTTCAAAGCATCAAAGAAAAACATCAACGACAAATGAAGAAATTTATGTCATGTGAGTCATGTGAACATATGAAAAAACAGTTCGACATCATTCAATCAGGTTGAACCAAGAGAAGATGGAACTTAACATGGCCCATGTGCAGTTGACTTCTCGTGGAGAAGTGCCTTGACATCACCCCATCCACTAGCGGCACTAGCGATTCATGTTTGGCCACACAGTCAAAAGACGCGGAACTAGCTGGTGCCGAAAGAGGGTTTGACTTGCAAAAACATTCCACAGAGCGCAAAAACTAAATTTGTGCATTGAAATTGCCTCAAACTTCTAGCTGTCGAAAATAAAAGTGGAACATGATGGAACCGTGAAGAGAAAATTACATAAAATTGCTATCCGCTTGGAAAGACCTCTGGTTTTCACCGTCCTGCACGGTTGCGGGGTTGCTCCCGCGCAAATTCATGATCGTCTCAACCTTCGTTGTGATTTCCACTGCAATTGTGCGGTGGAAAAAATGATGTTTCACTGGATGGTAGTGATAGCTGATGTGTGGAAATCAATGAGTTTTATCACTACATGATAAAGGGACATCTGGCAGTGATTGTGGCATTTCTTAGATTCTGGATAAATGAAGGCTGATGATATGACCGTTTAAGGAGAATATATGGGGAAAACATATGCATGCATTCTGGTAATTGTAGTAGTAAATACCCACTTTGATAAGGTCTCAATGCTGAACAGATCCAATACATTCCCCCCGGGGGTTCGTTTGGTGGAGTGTTTGATATTTCGGTGGAGGATTAGGTGCATGCCGACATCACCAAAATAGATTGGACAGGGATTGCATACAGATAATATTTATATATTTAACATTTGGTCAAATCAGCTCATACTCAATGGATTGGTTTAAGGGAAAATCTACAGGAAACCATCGATTTTCCCAGTAAATATGGGGTTTTCCTGTAAATTTTCCCTTAAACCAATCCATTGACATACAAGTCTGCATCTAGGGCTCTAATTATCAAATAGCCAGACTTTTGAAAAAGAAATGGTCTGGATCTGGCGATCTGCGGTTGGAGGTCACCAAATTGCGGTTGAGGTCGCCCCAGGCCGTGACACACGTGGGTGAAATTCCATGTGTTGCGTTGTGTTCGGTGGTTGTTGTTGTCGTTGTTGCTTGCGGGGGGGAAGTTGTGTGATCTTTGAGATTGCGGGGTACCCTACAGTATCAAACAAACCCACAGGCTGAGCACACCGATGTTGGAATCAGAAAGAGTATATGATGTTTCGATCATGCAACTACTGGCTGAGATCACCATCAACTACTGGCTGCATTGTTGGTCACCACTCTGGTGCTTTCAACCCCTATGAACGTCGTTGGGAATCATCGTCCAATATCTTGAAGCCACCAACAATTTCTCTCAGTCTTCTGATTTTCCGATACGGCCTATATCTATACCATGTTATCCGATGTTTTTGTCCACCATATCCATACATTCTCCATGGTATATCACCATATCAGCATGTTATTCTCAACCAAGATATATTTCTGGGGCCTGGCACATCCAGGCCAGTACCTACTGGGATGATCTAGGGGCCGGCCGGTGATGGTTGTTGCTTGAAGTGGGGCCCCATCTGATTTAATATGTATAAATATTTATATATATATGTACTGTGTATATATATATACTGTATATATATATATAATGTATATGTATATATATTCTGTATATATATATATATTATTAGAGTATATATATATATATTAGAGTATATATATATATGATTATATATGTATACCTTAGGGTAAAATAACATAGGAAAACCAATGGTTTCTCCGGGAAAAAAACTTACAAATGGTTGATTTTCCACATCTATGTTCGTTTACCCTAGGGTACCAAGCATAAACAGAAATCTTAGCCTAGTTTCTTGGATCTCCATCCCAGTTCGTAAGTGGGCAACGACCATCTCATATCTCCCTTATATGTGGGAGATTCCAATACCCATAGGATCCATGTATGCTATATATGGTAATATTTACCATCCATATATCCCAAATGTTAGCATATGTACCATACATGGATCCTATGGGATAGTAATGGTAATATATGGGTCATTGATCACTTACTAATAAGGATGCACCCCCAAGCACGTTTACCAACTTACCTATCATAAATTCACCATGAATTCCACTGTTTCCCAGTCACAAGTTTTGCTCGTTGAAATCCCCATTCTTCTTAGCTCCATCTCCAGTTTCATTGCTTCATCAGCAATTGTTATTGGTTAAACCACCATTTCATTGGTTAAACCTCTTTTTTAGCGTCTTCGGTAAAGCCAGCATTTTTCGTATCCAAAGGTGTCACGGTAAAACCTCGTTGCGCCAAGGGACCAGGTCTCCAAACTCCAGTGGCCGGCCCTCGCGTTCCAAGATATCTTCGTAAACCTGATCGATCATCTCCTTGGGATGATAACACGGCGGGAATGACAAGTCACTGGTGCTTTTTTGGGGAATCGGATGATCATGTTGCTTAAATGTTGCTTAATAGATTAAGAATGTTTAAGAACCATAGTTAATAGTTGTATAATTGTAAAACATTGTAAAACTATTATGGGTCATTCCCTCATTCCCTACGTTCAGCAGCAAGTAAGATGCAGTTCTAGCCCTGAAAAAGGTGTAACTGGCTGAAAAAACCTCGGTGAAGTGATATTGTTCACCTTAGTTGCAGGAGTTGTAATCCAATGGCCATAACTGTTAAGGGCCACAACTGTATCTTCCTGGTGCTAAAAGTAGGAAGTGAGGAAATTGCCCATAATTATTAACAATCATAAAATTCACCAATTCCCTACTAAGCACAAGCGATTGAACACCATGAAATATGATTTTAGTTCAATTATATTTAATCAAACGTGTATATATATATATATAATTAAATATAATATATATATATATACTATCTGCAAAATATTGATGACACTCCGGCAATCAAACGTGACTTTCTGGAAAACCCACCATTCAGTCAGTTTGCTGATTTTCCCAGCTAACCTTGTTTGATGACTGGAGAGTCTCTTCAAAGGAATGGGATGGAATGGGTTTCTGTTCAAAGACATGTGTTCATCTTCAAATAAAGAATAACGTCATATTGTGCAAAAAAATGCATGAATTAATGGGAATATCATGGGAATATCACCAACCATGTGCTTAAATTTAACCATTCTATTTTTTTCGGTGATTTTTACGAAGAAAAATATGATAAGTATGTATGCATGGATTAGATTGAATGAAATTTGATAACCAACAACATTATATATATATATATCTGGTTGGTGGTTTCAAACCCTCCGAAAAATATGAAAGTCAGTTGGGATGATTCTTCCCAATATATGGAAAAATAAAAAATGTTCAAAACCAACAACCATATATATATATATAATTATATATATAAGTGTCTGAACATGGGGGATACCCCACAAAAGCACTATGCATGGTTTTGCTAAGATATTGTGATCAATATTAATCTCTTCTAGTAACTCCTCTACCCATTTGCACCCATATATTCATGTATAATGAAAACACTTCTGTACAGTGTGATATATAATGCAAGATAATGCAAGAATTATTAATTCAAACTTATATAGATAACTTTAGATAACCAACCAAAATACTGATTCTGAAACCAAACATGCAGACAATGTGTTTCAAACCATCATCAAAAGGGTGGTAGCCCAAAGACATGGGGACTGAATATGACTAAACTAAAGCCAACGAACATGTGGACCTGACTGAGGCAAAAAATGGGATGATCGTAAAGATATGGGGCCAGATCTGGGTCGGCATAGATGGTGGCTTTGCACAAAACAAGATCCCGTGCTTCCAATAACATTGCAAACCCTGAAAAGATGCCAATCATTGCAAATTGCAATTCACTAGTTCAGTAGCTAACATCGCAAAATGCAATTCACTAGTTCAGTAGCTAACATCGCAAAATGCAATTCACTAGTTCAGTAGCTAACATCGCAAAATGCAATTCACTAGCAGTATTTCAACCTTTCAGCATCAAACAAACCAGGTATCAAATTTTCTGGATGGAATTCCAACTTTTGCTGCCTATCCCAAAAGTTTGACCTCCTGCAACTTGGAGCTACCAAGCTTCAACCAAGGAGACAACGTCCACGTCCACACCGTACCTGGAGGGTCGATAAAGCACCACATCAAAAGACATAGGGAATCAGTTGTTTGAAAACCTCCAAAAAATACACAAATCAAAGCGAAACCAAATAATCCAAGGTCAAAAACCAGTGGTCGACTTAACTTTTAAGAATCAGATGGTTTGTTATTCACATTGAGCCAAAACAAATATGTACCCAACTTCATCATTAAACTCTGACTGAACCAAAAGCACTCACCCAGTGGGTATTTCAATCAGCAAGACCACTGGCCCAGGATGTTTAAAGGCGATGTCAACTACGTATGTTCTTCACCATAGTTCATTGCTTCGGGGCATTATTCCCTAAAAATCATAGTGTATCATGGCATACTGTAACATAATATAGCAGAATATATAATGCATAATATACCATGATATATCATAATATGATATGTCATAATAAATCAACATATATCGAAATACATCAAAATATATCAAACTATACCAAAACATCCCAAAATATATATATATTATATATAAACAATTCGTAATATAACAAAATAAATATGCATATTTCATAATGATTCATGATATGTCAAAATAAGCAAATATATATATACACATCATATGAATAATATGGCATGATATATCACAACATCATAACCTATAGTAAAATGATCGCCCTCCCGCCAATTTCATGAACCAGGTTTCAACACCAATCCTGACGTAAGAGTGTAACAGTACTAAAAACATCACCTTCAGATGCAGTCAACATCTTGACACCAAACCTTCATGGGTTTTTGTCTGAAAAAAAAAGGGAAACCATGGAAAACCCCAACATCATCCATCCGGGTAAATTATACGTACCATCTGGTAATTTAACATAGCCATGGAAAATCACCATTTTTAATAGGTAAACGGTAAACCATCTATAAATGGGCCATTTCCCATGGCTATGTCAAATAACCAGAGGGTAATATTTCACGAACCTGAATTAAGACCATGTGGGGGTGATTTCCCTATAAAACCCAGTATTCCAGGGTTCGGGAGAACAGTGAGGTCGTTATAATTTACTTATAATTTTACCCAGATCCATGGTTTATCATCATCTCCATTCAAAACCTGGCGATGTTTGGATTCTTGGTAATACTCAGGTCATCTTGGGCACCAATCAACTAACATAGCTGTAGAAAATCACCATTTTTAGTCGGTAAATCAACTATTTCTATGGCCATTGTTCAATAGCTATGTTGAATTACCTGAGGGTATCCAGTTAATACCTCATTAACAACCGTGGTTAATAAGTCCCCTGCCTTCAGTAATTATGCTTTTTACCAGTGGCTTGTTACCCCAGAAACACGAAGCAGGGCACAGGAAATTCACCACCTCCGCTTCAAGCAGCAACTCGTTGATCGCCGCTTTGGAGATGGGACCTTCCTTTTTATGGCTTTGTCACGAGGGAATGGGCCCCAACAATTGATGTTTAAACCCCAAAACTGATGGCCCTAAATAAACAGCAAACATGATGATCAACGAATGTAGTTGGGGGTAGCCCAGTTGCAAACTTGGAATCTGGGTTGCCTTTTTACACTTGAAGAAGTAAGGATCACCAGCCCATGTCGATGTTTTCAGAATTATATAAGAACATGGAACATCATGGAACCATCAAAGAAATAAATTGGTTGCTGGACTTTAAACCTTCCAAATGTGTTGGGCGCCTATTCTTGATCCATGCCCATAATCATGATATCCGGATTAGTTCGTTAGAAAGATCCTACAATAGTTTGTTACTTCAGTCCACACCGCAAAGTCAGCTGGAATAACACTTCCCAATGCTGCTAGCGTCTACGAGATTACTGCACATGATCCCAAACATGTTGGTCCAAAAAGAAATGATTGACTGAAAATAGGGTAGCCATGGGTAGCCATGGGTAGCCCTAAACCCAACGTTTCAGATCTCGTGGCTTTTCTTCTGAAAGTTGTTGGGCCATCGCCAAGTCTCGGTGCTGATGCCCATTCGCTTCATGACCTGCGCGGCTGGTGATACGTACGTGTTGATGCTTTGTTTTGAATTTTTAGGGCAATTCCAGGGGAAAAAGTATGGAACAAATATAGTTCCAATCTATTTTTTGAACTCTCCAAAAGCGCCTGTTTCAAGTTTCACGGCCTTTTCAACCCCCAAGACAAACGAAACAGCATGTTTGCGGGCTTGCGCTGCTACTGGGCAAGGCCCAAAATGGGGGCCCAATTTCATCTATATAAATCTGTATAATGTTTCTTACAGTTTTGGGGTCCAGACTAGGGCGTGTAGAAATCTTGAAAAGATTCAAAGAAAGTTGCTGCTTCTAATCCACTAAGGAATGAACATGTTCAGGGCCCGGTAGCAACACAAGACGGCTTAGCGTCTTCCCGGCGCCGCAAAACACGCGCCGGGCCTCAAGGCTGACTTTGTTGGTCACCTATTTTTGTTCCACCTTTTGTGGATGTGTTGTGCCATGAACCCATGATGAAACAGGCACTTTTGGAGCTTAGGAACTCCAAATTGAAATTCAGTTTGGAACTGGTTTTACCCAGCCATATTTGATGGTTAAATGGCCGCTTGTGATGCTTAAATCGACATTTCCGTTGGTTGAATCGACACATGTTCATGCTTAAATCCTTGACAAATAAACCTCCATTTTTCATGGCTACCCTCAGATCAACGTCTATATAGATGTGAAAAATCGATCATTCATGGACATAGATCATATTTTCCCAGGGAAACCATGGGTTTCCCACATCTATGTAGACGTTTTCTCTCCACGCCCACCTGTCGCAGGTTCAGCGCCACCGTGGACACTGCCAGGCCCTCGCGTTCCGAGGCAGCCACGATGTCGATGACGTTCACCTCAGTGCATGGGAGATGCAACTAGTCAACAGATGTTTATTACCCCCTGGTAAACATACAAAAAACGATGGAAAATCACCATGTTTAATGGGAAGTTATCAGCTATTTCCACTGGGTCATTTTCAATAGCAAACTGTAACAAATTACCAGAGGGTAAAGTGGTTGAATAAACATAACCAGACAAGTTGGTTTAATAAATCAAATGGTTAAATAACCATCTGAATTTTAAGTGGTTGAATAACATAAATCTATTTGAATAACCAGTCAACGGTATCCATTTCAACTATTTTCAACTGTGGTTCCGGTTTATGTATCCTAAATCTAGGTTGAAATCATGATTCTAATGGGGATATTTTATGTGAATATCATGGGGATATTTCATCCATGATACGGATACGTAAGAATATGACTTTTCGGGTGATAACTGGGAATGTGACCCATATGTTATATTATGTTATATGACGGATTGAACCATTGTGGGGGTATCATGGGGATACAGCGGGATCATGTATAGTCAACGTGGTAATCCTCAAATCCCATGGTATACCATCATTTTCCCCAAAATCACGAAAGGGGATACTCCATGTTTGGACAACCCATTATTTGCTGATTCAGGAAGCCGAAGCATTCTCAGCAAATCATCCATTTGGAAGCCGATTTTAGTATTGAAACCCATGGTGACGTTGGGGGTCCTGAATTTCAAGAAACAATCATACCAATTATCATTATAACAACCATATTAAGGAATATTATGGATATAACTCCAAGGTATCGGCTCAAACCGCCCATTTTCAGTGGTAGTTTTGTCTTTTACCTGAGCGGGGTTGGTGTGAAAACTTCCCCGCGGGTTCTCAGTTGCCATTGCTTTGCGGTCTCTGGCCTTCTGACTACCTGTGAATCCGGAGACAGGTTTCGGGTGATCCTACAAACCCGTTTGGTTTACATTACATTTTCTCTGTTCTCCTTTTCTGCATTAGCTGTCTTAGATTTAAGACCTCTTGCACATTTGGACAACTTCAAATTTATATTTTTGCTGGCACTGCAGGGGCCGACTACTGATTTTTGGTCCGGTGATTTTCCCTGACCTATTTCGGGTACAAAGGCTACAACTCAGGTGCATATTGCAATTCTTTTATTTGTCTGGGTGTGTGCATTAGCTGTCATTGACCTCTTGCGCATATCGACTCAAATTTGCCATTTCAATTTATTCACTGGCACTGCGGGGGCCGACTACCGTCTGTGTGTACATTGAATTTCTGTGCACTCGGGACTAGTTGCAGCAGTTTCAGTATACAATTTGTTTGGTCTTCAGGTTCGTGGATGTGCTCTTTTTTGCTCCTGTTCCTCATTGTGATCGTTACATTTTCCCATTTTCAAGATTTCGCAGAAGCAGCAGCCTGGCACTTGGAAGCGCAGGGATCGGCGTCGCAGAGCGACAGCAAGGAGGCAGTGGTACTTGCACAAAACTGGCAAAATTTCTTTGACAGCAGAGTCATTGATCCGTGTCAGGAACATTTTCTCCAAGCACCACTCCAGAGATTCTGCGTTTTTGCACAAGATCTCTTGCCAAATCCAAGAAAAAATGTCAGCGGAAGAAGCATACCCCTGGGTCTGTCCGTGTGGCAGACTCAACAAGAAGAGTGCCAACCTTTGTGCGCTCTGTTGGGGCCATTGGTCGAAAGGCACAAAGCACGATGTGACGCCAAAGAAGAATTCCTATGGAGCCAGCACTCAGTGGCACGGAAGCTGGGATGGCTGGAATCAGGAATGGACAGGTTGGGAGCAGGATTGGGACGACACCGAGAGTGTGGGTCATTCCTCGACTTCCTCGAGAGGGCGTCAAGTGCAACAGATAGAATATTCCCCAAGAGGTCGATCCAAAGGGAAGGCAAAGGCCAAAGGCAAGGGCAAAGGAAAGACAAAGAGCGAGCAAAACACCAGTCCCTTCGGTGCAGGAAAAGGTGGGCCCGCGCCGCTGCCTGCCTGGCCCTCATGGACCAATCCAGATGTTGGTTCCTCGCCGTTTCAGGCGGCTCAATCCAGCAAAAGCAGTACCATGCAGGAGATGGCAACGCATCTGCGTCTTGCATACAAAGATTCAGAAGCGCCGGCGGATGTTCAGGCCTTTCTGGAGAAAGCAGACAAGGAATACAGCCGCAACAATATCAAATCTCTGCAAGCTGCTACAAAGAGCCTGGATCATGCCCAGAAGGCGCTGAGAGACGCAGTCAACGCCAAGAAAGACCATCGTCTCCAGTGGACAAAACACGTTGGCGAGGGCATCAAGATTTGGGAAGCCCAGCTGGACAGCTACAGGGTCCATCAAGCTACTCTCTCCGAGCATGCCGCCAGAGCGAGATCGGAGATAGAAACTTCCAGAAGAATCTTGAAGGAAGTCAGCGAAAACACAGTGAAAGAAGGGAACCTTTCCATCCCTCAGCCGATTCAAGAGGAGACGGAAGATGCGAATACAGATACAGTCGTGGACTTGGAAGAGCAAAGGCTAAGAGATCAACTCCAAGGTGTTCTCAATGCATGTGCAGGGTCTCTTGGACTCCAAGTCGCCGCGGCAGATCAGCAGGTTCAAGAGGTATCGGACGACGACAAAGATCAAGGACCTCACAACAAGAGGCAACGGTCTGTCGAGCCAGCGAAGACTGGCTCTGCAGTTCCGAAGCAGTGACATGCGGCCGTGGGTATCCAGTTTCGAGAAATGGAGCCCATGAGGCCAGACCGCATATGTTTCCAACATGCCATTCGGTGACAGGGGAAAGGAACTATTTGAGTCCATTAGCCGCCGTTTGGAGTGCCTGGAAGCTACGAGGAGAAGTTTTCTCTCACAGTTTTGATGGTTGTTGTGACTCCTCCACATTGCATCAGGGTGTTTTTCAATTTCGAGCTGCATCAGTCAAGTCAGCGAGATGCACTTCTCATGAACCACTGAATGTTCGTCGTGTCAAACGTGTTCATTTTGATGATTGTATTGAAGTTGCTGTGTGCACTGAGCATGGATGCAAGTTGTACAGTACTTTTGTAGCACAAGATGCTTTAAAGGAGTGGAATGACAAGCCTTGGCATTACTGCCCCAAGCCTCCCAGTCGTCGCTTCTCATGGAGAAAACTCACGAACCTTGTTTACCCTTTTTGCAGGTTTGATGACAATGCATCCCATGTGATCAGTGGCAATGATGGTCAAGATGATCTCATGTGGTGCCCAAACATGTTGGACGCTGAGTATGGTATTGAGAGCAATGGGAATGAGGATGCATTTGAAGCAGTGTATCATGAGAATGTGCTCAGTGTCCCGGAAATGCAGGGAAAAAGAACGTGCTCAGATGTGCTTCGTGACATTACCAATCTCGATCCAGATGATCTAAATCAAGTCAAAGGGTTGCATGATGCCCCGCTGTCAATTTTGACTGCGTCGAGCTCGCACCAAAGACGATGTTTTCAGATCAATTACAATCCTATAAATTCGAATCAAATGCCTACAGGTCTTCTTGCAGACAAAGAGAACTGTGATGAAGCTTCAGTAGTACAGACGGGCAGGCCAATTCCACGCACTCTCAAAAACTCACCTATGAACATGCAGCAGGCCTTTCAGTTGCACGCATTTCAAGAAGGGCATGCGCAACATTTTGATGGCAATGATGACACTCAGGGAGAAGGATCTGAAGGGTCAGCAGGTTATTCTCCTGATGGAAGTCCAGGACCATCAGAAGTTCAATCACTGAACTCAGACAGTGACAGACAGGATGTTATTCTTTTTCATCTCGATGATCATCCCATTCGGGCTTTCATCAACTGGAATAGTTATGAGGAGATGATTACAGAGATTGCGCATCATTTTGGGTTAAGAAGAGAAGATGTGGTTGAGGCTTATGAAGTGGTGGTTTCGCCACCAGATATTGGCATCGAAGTTGTACCCACAATTGTGCATGTGTTTGGTGATATCCCACCTGAAAGCACCGACAGGTTGGTATTGGTTGACATCGAATATCATGCACACAGAATTGAGCACAATTTTCGAAGTGGTCCACATGTCCGTAGGTCTGTGATTTCTATTTCCATTGCTGCATCAAGAAATGAAGTTCTGTACAAGGCAAATGTTGACAGGTATTGTCGGTCAGAAAATGGTAGATGCTTGGTTTTTATCAACTCGAGAAGATGGCCTGACTACGACACTGACAGGAAAGCCATTTCACATGGCGACTATATCAGAGTTGCAATTCCTCCTTCAGACCGATATGCGTGTTCAACCGTTGCCATATCAGAAATGACGCAACAAGGTCTCACGGACCAACAGATCGTTGATGAAATCAATAATGATGAAGCAGCATCTGGATTTTCTCCAAGCCTATTAGGCGATGATGAGGTGAGAAGGTTGGCAACAGACAGTTTGGAAGAGGCAGAGGACGTAACGTTGATGCAGACCACAACAAATGATCGAAGCGTGGCTGATCTCTCAGGCAATGACACACTTTCCAGTTCTGGCTCCAACAATGCGGTACAAGACTGGTTTGTTGACTTGCAAAGGTTGGTTGAGGCACACTTTCAGCAATGCGATGATCTTCTGCAAAATGATTATATGTTCTCGATTTACACGTGGTTTATTGATCAAGAGACCACTCTCTTGTGTCGAGAGCCAAAGATTGCCATCCTCGGTGATGACCCGGCGGAATGGAGAGAAGACCTCCTGCTGCCATGGGAATATCACCTGGTACCTGGCAACTCGGTCCTGATTGACCTTGTGCAGCCCTTCACACAGAGAGTCGGAGTTGAAGAACATATCGCACATGTCATTATCACACAAAGACCGATGGATTTGAACTCAGTTCTTTTCTCAATGGTGTTTGTGGATGAGGTGGCGCAGAGCGTTGTGGTGCCTTTTGCTGTAGCTGTCCCCAGGCTTTGCTCTGCGCGTGACATAGCGGATCGCATTCCTCTGTTTGATGCCTTTTTCCTGAACAGAAGAAATTGGGTTCATCCAGAAGTTGACAATGAGGAGCAAGCAATAGTCACAAGATATGGTCTTGGCATTGGAGTACAGATCTTTGCTGACTTAGGAGACAACATTGATGAAATGTCCGATAGTAGCAGTCTGATTCAATCTTATCCCAGTGCCTTGCCTGTGCAGAATTTGCTGCGTTCATCATGTGATGCTAAGCAGTGGCAGCAGGATCGATTGCATGCAGCCAAGGCCAAAGGCCACATGCCTACCTTTGACAACTTCAGTTGGACAGAAGAATTTATCAGGTATATTCAGGCGATCGGAAATCAGGAGGCACAAGCCAATGCTCTCCCTGACCTGCCTGATGGGCTGAATGAACAGCCAACATGGGTCCAAGATTTATGGGAGAAATGGGCTGAGACGATTGCCCAGACTGAAGGCGATCCACAAACTGGCCCGCGTCTTGAAACATGGTTTACCAATCCTAGAAGATGGACAAGATGTGACCATTCAAGAATTGTTGACCTTTCCACCAATTTCCATCAGTGGGAACGTGAATTGCTGAATGCTTGGCATGACCGCGCTGAGATCGCCTTGCCCACGCACTTTGCAATTGTGTTTCCGACACCTGAAGATGTTGATCGTACGGTACAAGAGCAACTGGTGATAGAACAGCAATCAGAACCGTTTTCCAGGACAGTAGTGGTTACGGTCTATGACACTCATCGCAGCAATGGACGGCACGGCTCAATTGCCTTGGTTGTGTCTGATCAGCTGCACATTCGCTCTCTGATCACCTTGCTAGGATATTCAGGGGTTTGTCCACCAGAACGAGAGGACAGTGAGTGTTTGTTATGGATGGGCAACATTGCCATTAGGCCAGATCAAACCTTGCATGTTAGAACAGGTAAT